AGAGTAGTTAAACATTGGAAGAGGCTGCCCAGGGAAGTGGTTGAGTCACCATCCCTGGGAGTATTTAAAAGACGTGTAGATGAGGCGCTTAGGGACATGGTTTAGTGGGCATGGTGGTGTTGGGTTGATGGTTGGACTCGATGATCTTGGAGGTCTCTTCCAACCTTAATGATTCTATGATTCTATGATTCCCTCCTTCAGAAAAAAACACCCGCATTTCTCTAAATGAAAACCAACGTGACCCGGATGGTCGCCGGGGGACAGTCAGTCTAGGCTGCCCTCTGCCAGAACCGGCCCAAATGAACCTGTAAGGACTGAAACAAGGTGACTTTGTACGCTCCCAAGACTGCTTTACAGATCTTCGCGGGATATACTCAAAGCAACCGTGGGATTTTTTTAACTAACTGGAGATTTTTCTTTGTCCTTCTGCAGAAGCGGTTTTACCTGGAGGCGCACGACAAACGCCTCAGGAGCAGAAAGCGTCTGGTGTGGTGAGGGGAAACCGAAGCCTACGGGCGTTTGATCTGCCAAGCGGCACAGCGTCCAGCAGTTCCCAGCCTCCGTCCACGCTGGTGAACGACCGAGACAACCAAAACAGGCAGCAGCACAGTCTGTTTGCCACAGTCACAAAAAGGCTCTACGCACAAAGATGGCTTTGATCTGCCTCGCGTTCCCCGCCGTCCTTTCACAGGACCAGAGAAAGGCCAAGGCCAGCCTAGTTTTTGCGTGGCTGACTCAAAGGGATCAGGACTTCCTTCCCTCGTACGGTCTCACTTTTAACAAGATTTGACAGGGAGATTAAAAGATTTATCAGAAAATAGTTTCGGCCTGAAACAGGACACTGAAATGAAATGGATAAATCATGTCCTCAGTCCTGAAGACAGGGAAAGACAGGGACGAGGCGGAGCAACAAGGAAAACCGCAGGGGCTTACCAAGAGCCAGAAGTACCAGACGTAGAGCGAGAAGCAGCTCAACACTTGGACCATGGCTGTCAGCAGGATCACGTCCTTGAGGTGCCTGAGGGAAGAAGAGCAAAACATTAACCTTCCATTCCCGCCCCCGC